ATACTCCCTCCGTTTCACAAAGAATGACCTTCTTTCCTTTTTAGTCAGTTTAAAAAAGAATGACCTATTTCCTTTTTAGGTAACATTTTACTTTTTGCTTTCCACGTGACATGTTTAAGACCACAAGATTAAGAACAATTTTATACATTTGACATAACTTTAATTTAGGACCACAAGATTCAAAAGTCTTCTTTATTTACTTAAACTTCGTGCCAAGTCAAATCAGATCATTTTTTATGAAACGGAGGGAGTATTTGTTATTGTAAATCTGTAGTTAAACATATAAAGAGAGGGAGTATTTATAGGATATTAGGATTTACATTTTAGATATAAATGGGAAGTAAGGAATTTGAGGAATTTTTTTTTTTTACCGTTTGGAAATATTAACGTTTGAAATATTAACGTTTGGAAATATTAACGTTTGAAAATAAAGATGACTGTTGGGAAATGGGGCATTGGGCGTTGGGACTTGGGACTTGGGAATGGGAAGGCTGGCAAATTGGCAAGGTTTTTGACTAATTCATTGGCCTTTAATTTCCAAGACAACCCATGCCAATGGCAGGCAGTTAGGCACAAATTGTCAAATACACATTGGGCCTCTACTCTATAGTCTATAACTCTATATATTATATATTTAATAAATTAAGAAAAATGTTGGAATCGGATCGAATCGGAACAGAACCGGAATGAATCGGTACTGGAATATCGGTATCAAATCGTGATACCGTTTTGTTTCGGGTACGGATTCACGCTATCCCATCCCGTCCCGAAGATGATTGAACCGAAATAAATTGGGGTACGTCCCGGTCCGGCTCCCAGCCTTATACACAAGCATCAAAACTGAAGGATTGTTAAATAATAAGATCTAAAAATATTAAGTACTAAACATAAAGTCTTAAATAAAACATCTGAAAATAAGTACTGCAAGATTGACCAAGACTATCTATGTATGAAGTCTCTACTAAATAATTTATTTTCTATTATTAAATAATTGTATTTTTGTAAATCAAACAAATAAAAAATACATAAATTAGATACATAACAAACTAAAATATTTAAAAAAAATTATTTTCACTCTTCACCCACTCTCTTCATTATTTCATCTGGGTCGATTTCTTAACATCCAAAATTTCACATTGATTGATTCACTTTATTTTTCATTACTTTGTAATTATTCACTATTACTTCCATCAATACTTATATCAATAACCATACCTTTTTTTTTTCAACTAGGTGAAACTGTCAACTTATATCAACAATGGTGATTTTAAATTTATGCAAAATCGATATGTTAATTTTTTAGCTTTGTTGTTACTTTTCTTGTTTCACTTCTTAATGCATATTCAGGTATAGAATAAGTAATGTTTGAGGAAGAAGAGACAAGCAGGGGCAGGTGGGGTTTTGAGAAAAGGGTGGAGGGGTTTGAAGAAGAAATATGGGGTAGGTGGGAATTTTTTTTTCATTGTATATATATAATTTATGCTAGTGGGACCATTATTTTCTTAAAAAACAAGATTTAAGATTTTTTTTTCGCTACATCATTTGTTAAGGTGGTATTAAATTCACAAGAAATGAAATATAATATAATATAAAATTCAATTTCATAAAATAAATATAAGTTTTATAATGAAATATAACGGTAGTTTTTTTAAAAACTTTTAATTTGTAGTTGAAATTTAACCAATATTACAAATTTTCATTTGTAGTTGAAACTTGACCAATAATTAATCAAGAAAGAATTTGGACTCTTCTATGATTTGTATTAAGATAATAAATAATTATAATAAACATAATTAAATAATAATTAGAAGAAAATGATGAAAAAACGATATTGTCTAAATGGTAGTCTTTTAATAAAGGATAAAATGTTCAATCAATATTATTAAAAATTTCGTGCTTTTAATATATCATAGATAGATAGATAATGGGAAATATATTAACAAAATTTAATTCGTGAAGAGGTGTAATTATTTTTATAATAATGGGAAATGGATTAACAAGATTAATTTGTGCAAGGGTGTAATTAGGGTTTTGTATTTTAGAAGAAGAAAAAAAAGAAATTTCTCACCCTAGTTCATATTAAGCGAATTCTTCAGAAAAACGTCATTAATTTGAATAAATTTTAATTATTATAGAAAAATATTGCAATATAACATAAAAATTAATTTCACAGAAAACATAGCTATTATAGTAAAATATTATCATGAAAGATTGTTAAAAATTATATTCCTTCCATCCTTATTTACTTGTTCATTTTTTACGTTGCATACTTATTAAAATAATAATAATTGATATAGTAAATTTACCATTTTACTTTTATTAATTAATAGATATTCAAAATCAATTTACTCATTAAATAGGTAATTTTTCCAAAATAAATATTTCCATTGAATAGTAATACCATTTTCCCTCTTATAAATAAGGGAAGAATGAGAGTAAAGTAAAGTATACCTTAAAAGAAACTTTGAAGTCTTTCTTGTTTCCTAAATATTCCTCAAATGGCATCTACCAAAGTTACGATTCCCACCATAGATTTTTGCGATTCTGAGCTTAAACCAAACACTCCACAATGGGAATCAACAAAAGTTCAAGTTTTTGAAGCCTTACAAGAATTTGGTTGTTTTGAAGCAATATATAACAAAGTTCCAAATGAAATTAGAGAGGGCATGTTTGATACTTTAAAAGAAGTATTTGATTTTCCACTGCCCAAATTGATAGAATATAGAGAGAAACCCTTTCATATATATGATGGGCAAATTCCAAGTGTACCACTCTTTGGTAGTGTGTACTCTGCTGATTTGGTCCTCCCAAATAGTGTTGAAACATTTGCCAATACCTTTTGGTCTCATGGAAACCCTAATTTTAGGTATGCATTACTTCTTTTTCATTAATTATAGGGAGTCACGATAGTGTAAGATGCATTAAAAGGAGAAACGTTTCCTAGTAGAATTGTTTCTATTCCTAGGGCTAGAATCAGGAACCTTTAGTTAAATTAATAGAGATAATATTCATTCCATCACTAAAGGTGAAAATTAAGTATCTTATATTGTCCATAAATTTTATATAGAAGAGATGTGAGAATTAATAAAATAAAAATTAAAAACTCACGAGTAAACAAAATAATTATATCTAATTTATATTAATAAAGAAGAGTATTTGATTATTATATTAAGTCAAATGATAAGCTAATAAATCAATATTAACAATCTAATCACATGATTTATATAAAATTGGTTATGGGTATGGGAAGGGAGGGAGGGAAGTACATTTCATTGAGGAACAATGCAATAGTTAGACAGGATTTAACATACTTGAACAAGATATCATAATCTAAAATGATTAAAAATAATTTTTTAATATTATCTACACATCGCGCGAATATATATATATATATATATTAAGTGTATTTCTTAAATAATATTGTATTACTATTTATATAAATTTTGTATGTTTTAATTTTGCAGCAATGTGGCAAAGTCCTACTTCAAGCAACTTATGGAATTAAATGACATGGTTAAAAAGATGGTTTTGGAGAGTCTTGGGCTAAAAAATTACATTGATGAATTCTTGAATTCCAATGTTTATATGTCAAGATTTACTAATTACAAGGTAATTAAAGGTGAAAATGAGAATAAATCAGGATTACCTTCCCACACAGATAGTTCCTACTTGACCATAATTAAACAAAATCAAAATGGATTGCAAGTTCTCTACAAAAATGGAGAGTGGATTGAGCTCAATCGTCAAAATGGACTGCAAGTTCTCTACAAAAATGGAGAGTGGATTGAGCTCAATCATACTTCACCAAATTCCTATATTGTTTTATCAGAAGATGTTTTTATGGTAAGTTATTATTTATTTTTTATTACAGAAGTCAAAAATACACCTAAACTTTTTATTTATATGTATTTTTGACGCTTAACTCTTTATTTTTTTGTGTGTAGGGGTGGTTTGTTGCTATAGTAGAGGAGAATAAAAGAAATAGATTTTTTTTGTATGATTGATTATTCAAGCCCAACTAGAAGCTAAGATTAGAGGAGTTTTGAAGCAACGAAAAAAAATGTTGTGTGTGATTTATAGATATTGATGCAGGCTCGATCCGTGAAAGAAATCACTAATATTTATATTAGATTAGATCGTTTACCTAACTAAACATCCCTTGAAGTACTGCCCTTTCTCCAAACCATATGTGAACGTCAAATATTTTATGCATCAACCTGTCTTTTTTTATTTGGCCCCAACTAACTTCAATCCACATAAATTATTAAATCTTGATATTAGTTGGAATAACATATCTCTTTTCTGAGAAATTGAAAATAATGCCAGAACTATCATAATCTTTTTTTAAAAAAATTGTCTTGTTATTATCTTATTAATTTAAAATTTTCTTTCTTCAGAGGAAATTTAAGTCAATCTTTTTGTTCCTTAATTATTAATTAAACAAATAAATTCTTATACATACTTTTTATGTGTTGATGCTATGAATTAATTATACAGGCATGGACAAATGATAGATTGACATCTGCTCAACACAGGGTTGTAACAACAGGAGACAAAGAAAGATTCTCTATTCAAGTTTTTTCCTTTCCAAATCCAGATTACACTGTGAAGGTCCCACAAGAATTAGTGGATGAAGAACACCCTTTAATGTACAAGCCTTTTAAGATGTCTGAATATAATAAATATATTATGTTAGGTGCTAAAAATGGATTGGGTGTCAAGAATTATTGTGGTCTTTAAAAATTTAGTAGCTATGAAAATTTATTTATGTATTGTTTTGATGAATAAAATGTATCAGATGGCTGGTTGAATATTTTGAATTTATATTTGGATGGTTGTTGCCCATGGTCAGCCATCTGATATTTTGTGTTGTGTTACACTATGTTGTTTTGATGAATAAAACAAATGAGCGGTTGAATATTTTGAATTTATATTTGGATGGTTGTTGCCCATGGTTTTGTATTTGGATGGTTATTGCCCATGGTTTTATAACAGTATTATATTATATCATTTTGATGAATACAACATATGGATATATTTTATTATTTTACGTCATTACCACATTAGTAATTTAAAGAATAAATATACAATATTATATTTTAAAAATAGAATAGGGCACTAGATAGAGTTATTAAAAAAAAGTAAGGTAAAAAGATAAATTAGGATTATTATATTTTAAGCATAGAAAAAATGATGTTTATGAAGGGATAAAGATAATTACGCGACCACACCAAATTGATCATTATTATAAGACTTTCATCATTATATAGCGATAATAATGAAATAAAATAATGATGTGACCACACCAAATTTATTATTGGTTATGAGACTTTTCATCATTATGTAGAGAGAAGAGATAAATTTATGAAAACAATATTACTCCCTCTGTCCTATTTTATGTGGCACTCTTTCCTTTTTAGTCCGCCCCAAAAAGAATGTCACATTACTATAATTAGAAACATTTTAACTTTAAAAGTTTTTTTTTACCCTTAATGAAATGATTTACAATCACACAAATATCTAAGAATTGTTTTAGACCACAAGTTTCAAAAGTTTTCTTTTTTTTCTTAAACACCATGCCAAGTCAAACGATGCTACATAAAATGAAACAAGAAAATTATTTAATATCTCAACAAAATTATTTATATCTTTAATTCCTTGAATAGTCTTTAATTTATTTGTCGTCATTCATCCATCAATTAGTCGTCATGCTATAATATTATATAAATGAGTCTTTATTTCTATTCTTTTATTTATCTATGAGTCATAGATAAATATTAGGATACAATTTATTTTCTGTTATATAAATAATTGTATTTTTGTAAATCAAACAAATAAAAAAAATACATAAATTAGATACATAACAAACTAAAATATTGACATTATAAATAAATATTAAAAGTGTGGCTAAGAAATCTTATTAAATGTCAAATATTGACATTTTTAAAATTTTCCCTTTTTTAATGACATCGTTTATTGGACTAAGGTCCATTCTAGATCCCAGTATAAAATAGTCTAAGTCATTTTTATTTCTTCTATTTATATTTCTATAATTTGTTATCTTTATTTTCATATTTCTTACTTCATATAGTCAATTATTGGGTTCAAGTGGTCGACTAAAAAATAAAAATAAGGCAATTCATCCATTTTCAATTCGTATTAGAGCAAGGTCTTACAATTATTTGTCTATAGTGCAATGTTTGGTTTTAACTCTTCATTAGAGAAATCTATTATTGGAACTTTAACTTTGGTACAAGTCATTGATGAATTAATTAGTCTCCTATCTAGCAATATTTGTCCACTATTGACTTTGCACACATTTTAAGAAATTATAAATAAAAGGGTAATTTTACTATATCACCGTTTGAATATAATAAATAGAATGCCTAGAAAAATGCAATAGAGAAACGAATATAATTAATGACAGAGGTGTAATTATAATATAATAATGGGAAATGGACTAACAAGATTAATTCGTGCAGGGGTGTAATTAGTATTTTGAATTTTAGAAGAAAAAAAATGTTCTATAGTTCATATTAAAACACATAACCCCCCCCCCCTCCCGAACTTGACAGCATAACTTACTTTAGCACATTATCTTTACGGGTAATTATTTACCTCCTAATCTTATTGCAAGTGAATATAATAGCACCTTACACATACAATACCAGTATCGTACTCATGAGTGAAATGCACGCGCGCCACCTAAGTGCCACCTTGGTGCCACATCGATGGCATGCTAGATAATTGAAAAAATATATTTTTCTTTATTTTTACTTTCCCACATCTTTTAAAAAATTTATTTTCACTCTTTACTCACTGTCTTCATTATTTCATCTAACAAGATAAATAAAACAGACTTCTGAAACTCTACTGTTTATCTATGAAGCCTTTAACTGACAAAGATGGAATTCGGTACTAAACCCACGACATCCTAACAACTGATATAACTGAAAGTACAAGTGGAACCCTCCGGAAGCAAGGAGGCTCACCATAGATAACTCGAATTGCATGTGATATCAACGAAGCGCCTATTGATAACCCTAAATACATGTATCTGCATCATGAAATGATGCAGGCTAAATGGCTCCGTACGTGGAATGAACGAGCATGTCAGGGGAATTCTAAAGCATAAACATAGGCTTGAACTTGAAAAGAAGGAAACATACTTACCTCTTCTGAACTCACTCAACTCAACCCAAGAATAAAATACTCAACTCAAAGATAAAATATTCAACTTAGTGAAATAAGGCTCAACTCAATAATAAGATATTCAACTCAGTGAAATAAGGCTCAACTCAATAATAAGACACTCGACTCTTGGTACTCAAACTCTGGATACTCAACTCTGGATACCCAACTCAATATAAAGCAACAATAAGAGCTGCAATATATAGAAAGCTTTTAAAACAGTAGAAAGCAACTCATTGTATTTAAGAATGCAATATACTCAGTTTGTATGCAAGGATACAATATAAAATCTGTTTGTATATGAAAATACAAGTAAAATCTGTGTATATTAAAATACAAATATCTCTGTGGGAGTTTCTCTAACCGACAACCATCACTATGAGCTATGTGATGATATAACGTCTCACCGACACTGCCAGAACTGTCCTATACTTTGCCAGGGTATAAGACCTACTCACTAAGTGCATCCACTAGTCTATGCTAAAAAGCATTAAGGAATCATCGAAAAAGTATGACCATTTCTACCCACGTTGGCCACATGGTTTATGGGGGTTATGAGTTATCTGAACTCTCCCCCATATCGGTGCTCAATACTACTCTCAAAATATACTAGCTCATATGTTTAAAAACATAACTTTTCTGTGGTTTGAGAT